CCTGTCCACACCTGACAATCGATGTCTCTGGAACAACGGCCCATATGCACGGCGATATGTCAGAAATGCAGAAATAATTAATTCACAAGAACGAACACCGTCACGTGGAGCATGAACGCTTCGGTCAAATTTCCTACAAACTCTCAACATCCAACATCAAGTATTTCTGCCGGGTTTACCATTGAATCCAGAGCTTTTCCCCGGTTAAATCCAGAGATTTTCAACTCGGAGATCGTGGCAACGATCGGCATGGTCGCCATTTTCCGCTCTGAAAGAACCCTGTCGTTTGGAACGAAAACGGCTTCGCGCCTTCCAACGAAAGCTACAAATCGATTCCAGAACACATGGGCGGCCAACATACCAAACAAGATCCCATTCTGGTAAGCAGGTAGCCTGTAACCACCATCTCCTTGCAAGGAAATTTCAGCCATTTCTCCTTCGTTCAAGGTCTCAATTTTCTGCAAAAAATAGCCAGTGTTTGGCAAAAATTCTGCATGCCACTTCTGATGCGCGTTTGGCTGCATGCGCGAACTGCATGCGCAGTGCACGCGCTGAGATCCCTACCGACAGCCGAGCAGGCTGGTAGTGTGGACCATTGGCTGCACCAGTACGGGATTGGCACGACATGCATCCAGCTGCTTCAGCTCGTCTGCCAAGCCCTTGTTGGTAACGAAAGCCTGGTACATGGTGGGTCGGGCACAAGGCACACGTGCATGCAGTACCGGCGTATCCGCCATATCAGTACGAGACTGATCTGGTTGCTAGCTATGGGTGCTAGCTATAATAATTATAAGTAGATTCCTTCTGGGTGCGTAGATATTCCAGGATACGTACGATGAAATGCTATCCACAGTAGTAAATTACAGATATGGTTACTTGGACCTGCCGTTGTACGGAAAGGGCCGCAATGATATGCACATATCATATGGGCAATGAATTGATCCCAGTTATGGATGCGGCAGTAATCGTGCAAGGCCTTGGCTGGCCAGACCAAGAAGGGGGGTGGTCCCTCGCGGTGCCCGAGGTGGACACTAACTTGAGTAGTGGAAGGCAGTATACCATGGTATACCACAAGTCATAGCGTACACAAAGGCAAGTGTACATGACATTGCACTCTTGGCACTACGCTCAGCAGATAGCTGGAGCGCGCGTGTCCGCATGTGCTCCAGCCACCTAAGGTCAGACTGAGGTATGGCAACAGTAAAAGTGTTATATGCTTCACCACTTCGAGGTTGCTATCACAAAAGGTGCTTGAGCAATAGGAGTGGCAGTACATTGTTGGCACTGCACAAATGGCAACCATTTGATGTTTATTTTTCATTGCTCACAGAGGTGCATCATCCACCTCTGACATCGTGATCATGCTTCCAGAACCATGTATCTACATACAGGTAAACCTGCCTTAACCGGACGCCCGTGGTGCAGCGGAAACTGGTCTGATATGACATTATTCCGCTTGACACAGGGATGCACGTTCGATCCACAGCCCTTTGGTGCAGGAACATTTCCCGGTCAATACGGGATTCTGCTTGGTATAGGAGCAAGCAAACACAGGTAGAACTGTACTTGCGAAACAACAATATGAGCATGGCAGAACGGCATTAAGTTATGGGCGTGACTCTGGGCATGAAACAAAGCACTCGCCGGTGCTTGCAAAGCCACGAGACCATCGTTCATCACCAATGAACTAATGGTTAGAGTGTGGCAAGGCCCCCGACAGGGCCTGCCCACTGGCGTGACGGAAGCCACCATATCTACAATGACCGCACAGTCCACCGACATGGGTGCATGCGAGTTAGGCACAGACATTGGAATGGCACTCCTGCTTTTCATGAAATTGCCCTGACCACACCAGGAAGGCACGACTCAGGGCAAGAAACAAAGCACTCGCTGGTGCGTGCAAATCTACGAGTCCATCGTCCATGGATAATGGATGGATGGATAGAGTGGTTAGAGTGCGGCAAGGCACGCGACAGGGCCTGCCCACTGTAGAGACCATCGTCCATCGACAGTGGACGGATGGTTAGAGTGTAGCAAGGCACGCGGCAGGGCCTGCCCACTGGTTCGACCATCGTCCATCCGCAGTGGATGGAGGGTTAGAGTGGCTAGAGTGTGGCAAGGCACGCGGCAGGGCCTGCTCACTGTAGACTATCGTCCATGGACGGTTGACGTATGGTTAGAGTGCGGCAAGGCACACGACAGGGCCTGCCCAGTGGTGTGACCATCGTCCATCGACAGTGGATGGATGGCTAGAGTGTGGCAAGGCACGCGACAGGGCCTGCCCACTGGTGAGACCGTCGTCCATCGACAGTGGACGGATGGTCTGAGTGTGGCAAGACACGCGACAGGGCCTGCCCACTGCCGTGACAGAAGCCGCCGCATATCCGCGTCGTCCATCGATGGGGTTGGATACCAGTTACTTGTAGGTACAGAGATTGGCAAGGCACTCGTCAAGGCCTGCCCAATGACGTGACGGAAGCCGTCTGTTGATGTTGCTACGCGCTAAGCGCAGAGCCTTGGCAAGGCACTCGAAAGAGCCTGCCGAACTCGTGAAGGCCGCCCTGACCCAACAGGGAAATCGTGACTCGGGGCATGAAACAAGGCACTCGTCGGTGCTTGCAAACCCACGGGACCATCGCAGCTCGCCATCAGCATTGGCCGCCGAAAAGGCCGAAATTTCCATATCGGCACAAACTAGTTACTTCAGCACTTACCTACACGGACAGCACGTCGATCCGGTAGGAACTCTTACTAGTCCTAGGCCTGGACTGCGAGCTTCAGCTTCGGAGTCATTATTACACAATAGACACTGCCATAGCGGCAGTAGAAGACTTACTGAGTCTCAAGGATACTAGACAAAGGAAAAAGGTAACCTATCAGCAAAGAAGCGAAAGAAAAGGCCAAAGAAAGCAAGAGGTGCTAGGTGCAATCAAGGCGTGCATTTGCATTTTTATCTTTAAACCGCTGGAAATTTATGGAAAACTAGAGCGATTTGAGGCCAAACACACTGTCACATTCGAAGCCGAAGCTCCGAAGTGTAATCCAGGACAGGTTTGGCGTACATACGGGGCCAAAGTATCAGTTGGTGCAGGCGTAATTCTGACATGAATTATTGTCCTAAAATTGAAAAGTCTCTCGGACAAATTCTTCTAATTTTCCTACTGAAAATTTTAAGCTATTGGCCATCAAAATCGGGCAAGAGACGGGTACAAACCAGGGAGTCGTATAGACCCTGGTACAAACGAACATTTCGAAGGCGACGCTATCTGCAGTACAGGTGCTAGGAAGAACCGCGCGCGCGCGCTGGACCGGTTGTGAATGCGGAAACAACACTACAGCAAGGCAAATTTTCGAAATGTTTTGCTACTCGCCTGGCGCTTCATCGCTGTGTCCTTCAGGAGTTATGGCCGACTGAAGAAATACATGGCCAGCACAACGGCGAAGCCACTGGACGTGTTCTCTTGCAACGAAACGGAGTGGCGAATCAAATAATTCACAACTCCACATCGTCACTAATGCGTTGCGCGGCTCTTCGCAGCGGACCAGGCGTATATTTACATTGGACACAACAGGACTTCACGGCGGAGAAACTAAAACTAGAACACTACGTGAGTCATTGCTCCATGCCTTCAACATCAAGGAGTGCATGTCCTCTCCCTCTCCCGATCCCGTCACCCGCGCCTGTGCATTAGCGGCGTAGCTGCCGGGCAGTAGATGTTGAACTCTTTCGTGTTCAACGAATGCAGAAATCTGCTCGGGGCTACTCCTCGCAGGACTCCGTGTGTGGACAGTCTGAAGGAAGAATTCGGCCGATGAGGCCAACAATGCTCGCGAAATAGTCCATTCGGAAGGAAACAATAACAACCGAAACAAATGGAGAACTGTCTCCGTCTCCTTCACCATCCACGGCTCAGTTCTTGTCACAGCAACTCAGCCCAAGCAAGTCAAAATCTCCTTGCGACTGTGAGTGCTACGCCTGCGCTTAGCAGTCACGCGTGCCCGTTTCTATGGTGATCAGATCCAATATGTCCTCCCACGTAATCGAGGTTTTGGCATACCGGCTGTGAGCCCTGAGAATTACGCCTGCACCAACTGATACTTTGGCCCCGTATGTACGCCAAACCGTATCGATTAAAACAAAAAACTCTCGGACAAATCCTTACAATGGGTATTGAGAGTATGTTCCTAGAGTTTGAAAGGCCTAGGAGAAAGCATCAGTACAAATGAACATTTTGAATGCACCCCACTTTCAAGCTTCGTGAGATATTTGCCCGATCGCATGTACACGATTCTGGCATACTGCCTGGCTCGCGTGACAGCTCACGTGACAGCTACCTGTCCAAAATGGCGCCCACGCTTTTGTACGCGGCTGTGAGTAGGCCTCCGCGGAATATGCTCGTATTTTTACCGATAATTCCTTTGAGCGCTCTCCTCACGAGCATTGCATTGCTCAAATTTTCGACCGATAATTCTCACAATAATTCTTTTTTTCTTCCCTTTTTTTGCAGATACCGAACCGCGTACGGGTTTTTTTGCCACTTGTACGGGCAAAAAATCACGGTTCGCGTGAATTATGCATGAAACTCGGCTGGAAGCTTTTTTTCTTTCTTTTTTGAAATACCGGGCGATCGACTTCAGGATCACAAGCGTTTTGGTACAAATCAGGGTGTTATAAATGGAAAAAAAATTGAAAAAAGGGGGGCATTGCTCAAATTTTACCGATTATTCCACAAAAATTGCCAATAATTCCCGTTTTAAAAATCACACCGATAATTCCCGAAATTATGCCGGCATATTCCGCGGAGGCCTAGCTGTGAGCCCTGAAATTGAACAAGGATCTTGCGAGCGCTCGTGCAGACCTGTCATCGCTGCAGGCGGAAAATAGGCGAGTCACGCAGGAAAAAGAGGTGTGCGAAGCTGAGCGGGATGTATCGGAAAGGGAACTGCGCGAGCTGCAGCCGCATCTCGAGCGCCTGGAAAGAGAACACCAGGAGGGGCGCATGTGTTTGGAAGATCTCCGCGATCAGAATGACCGCTTGCTGACGCGAGCCGAGCAGGTTTCAGCAGAGCAACACGCGCAGCGAGCTGAACTGCTCGACAAGCTCGAACGCCTTCGCGCGGAGAACGCCAGCCTGCAACAGCGGGCGGATCGAGGCGGAGGCCGAGGGCCGGATGAGCAGCGAACACAGCGAGCGGAGTTGCTAGTTCAGCTGGACCAGCTTCGCGGAGAAAATGATCGCCTGCGGAGGCGTGCGGACCACGACCAGTACACCGCACAGTGTTCTAGTGCGCAGCAACAGGAGCTACGCAGTCGGATTCAGAGCGATCAAGAGCCGGAGGAGATAGTGAAGACGCACCAAGCAGCTGGTTCCACGGTCAAAGGCCTTCAGCAGGATGGACGTGGGCAAGCAGATGAGGGTCTGCAAAGCCAGCTATCAAGGCTCACCGCGCGACAAGCCAAGATCAACACCGACTTGCCAGCGTTCTCGGGTGCAGCAGAAGAGTGGCCAGCATTCCACCACATGTTTCAGTCTACGACCAAGCAATGTGGCTTCACGGAGGCTGAAAACATTCAGAGATTGCGGGTCTGCCTAAAAGGTCCTGCAAAAGAGGCAGTAAGAATGCTCCTCATCGTGCCAGAGAACCTGCCGAAAGTTCTCTCAACGCTGGAAAGGAGGTTCGGGCGGCCAGAACTAGTAGTCACGGAGCTCGTATCGAAGGCGAAATCAGCTAAGCCGGTACGCAGTGACGATGTAGAGACCTTGGTGTCGTACAGCACCTCGGTTAAGAATGTAGTGTTATGTATGAAGCTGCTTGGTAGCTGTGGACATATGTCCAACCCTACCCTCCGACAGGAGCTAGTGAATAAGCTGCCAGTTGCACTGAAGATGCAGTGGGGCGAATACTTGGCGGAGAAAAGGACCCAGATGGATTCCCTCGACCTGGAGGTCTTCGCAGACTGGCTAGAAAATCGAGCAGAGGCTGCGCTGAATGTGGCCGGGCCGTTTGCCAAAGCGGCCCCTCGAGCAAGTAATGCAACAGCTATGCACACCACAGGTGGTCCAGCCAGCACAACTAAGCCAGTGTTGCAGTGCGCCAAGTGTGGTAAAGCGCACTCCCTCACCAGCTGTGATGTCTTCCGCCAACTGTCAGTGAAGCAGCGGTGGGACTTCGTGCTTGGAACATCGCTATGTGTGTGCTGCTTCAAGACAGGCCACTGGAAGTCCGAATGCAGAGGCAGTGGTTGCAACAAGTGCCGAGGCAGACACCACCCTGACCTCCACCAAGAGCGCGCACCTCCGGCCAACCAAGGCTCCACGAGCAGGAGCACAAAGCCACGAGAGAATGTGGTTCCGCAACACAGCACGAATACGTCTGTGGCAACCACGCAGAAGACCGCTTTTATGGTAGTCCCTGTCGTGTTATGCCATCAGGACAAGACGGTGCGGGCCACAGCCATGATGGACAGCGGTTCTTCAACAACATACCTGAAAGACAGTGTGGCAAACGACCTCGGGCTGCAGGGAACACCAACGGCATTTACGGCGTCGGTTCTGGGGGGAAAGACAGTCTCAGGAAAGCACCGCCGCGTAAAAGTGACAATGGCGTCGGAAGACGGCTCATATGAAACCCAGCTGGAAGCATGGACGCAGCCAATAGTTACAGCACCGATGGAGATGATCGAGTGGAACTCGAGGAGACACATGCACAAGCACCTCCAAGAGGTTACCTTCCCGCAGGTGACTGGGGACCAAGTCGACCTGCTGATAGGACTCAACGTGCCAGAAGCGCACAGAGTACTGGAAGAGCTGGCAGGACAGCCGGGCGAGCCAGTTGCTCGAAAACTTCCCCTCGGATGGGTATGTTTCGGTCCCGTCAAGTCGCAAGCGGCAGAGTTCACAGAGACGTCCCTGCATGCGAATCTCAGCGATAGGAGCAACGCAGTTCTCGACGACCTCGTCGCAAAGTTCTGGGAGGTAGAGAGCGTTGGTTTGGTTCCTAAGGCTACGAAAACGGTCGCGGAGGAGGAAGCACAACGTATGGTTGAAGGAAGCATGAAATTGATGGATGGCAGAGTGTCGACGGCCATACCGTGGATCAGCACCGATAAGAAGCCAGATCTCCCACCGAATCGTGAAATGGCTGAACAGCGACTGAGAAACCTGGAGAGGACTCTGAGGAAACGACCGGAAGTCTACCAGCAGTATTCCGACGTCATCAAGTCCCATATAGCCAAGGGCTACATCCATCCGTGCCAGGAGACAGACCAACAGTGGTTGCTTCCTCATCTGGCGGTGGTACGAGCAGATAAAACTACGACGAAAGTACGAGTGGTATTCGATGCCGCTGCCCGATGCCAGGGCAAGTCACTCAACGACGAGATGCACTCTGGACCGAAGTTGCAGAGAGATCTGGTACACGTGCTGATGAAGTTTTGCCTAGAGCCTATAGCGCTAGTCGGCGATATTGCAGAGATGTTTCTGCAGGTGGAAATCGCTCCAGAAGATCGCAAGTATTTGCGCTTCCTGTGGCGCGACACACCGGATGAGCCAGCCGCCATGTATGAGTTCCCTCGGTTGGTATTTGGGCTGAAGGCATCGCCATACCTGGCATGTCGGGCTCTGAAGGCAACGTCAGCAGAGCACGGCGCATCCTTCAGCAAGTTGGCTCGGGAAGCAGTTGATGAAGCGTTTTACGTTGATGACCTGCTCGACTCACTACCGACTGTGGAGTCCGCCATCAACACTCGACAGGAAGTCCAGAGTCTGCTCGGAAAGGCGTCTTTCCACGTCCGCAAATGGAGGAGCAACAGTCAAGCCGTGCTAGAGTCTATACCGGACGAGGACTTGGCCAAAGAGGCACTGCTATGCATCAGCAACGACAGTCAGCAAATACCAGCGGTGGTGAAGACTCTCGGTGTGGTGTGGGACGCCAAGACAGACACCTTCAGCTATACGCACCGTGCTCCTGAAGAACAACAGTGGACCAAGCGTCAAGTGCTGTCGAAGATGGCGAGCATCTTCGACCCTAGAGGCCACATTGTGCCCTTTACCATGCGGGCGCGGCTGATGTTTCAGGAGCTTTGTGCAGCTGGGATCGGGTGGGACGACCAGATTCCGGCCGAGCTGAACGAGAAGTGGTACAGGTGGTTTGCCGAGCTGGAGCACCTCAGCAAGATCAAGATACAGAGATGTCTCAAGGAAACGGATCGCCCAGCCCATGAGGCATCACTGTCGGTACATGTGTTCACCGACGCTTCGGCCCATGCAACAGCGGCAGTGGGTTATGTCCGAGCGGAGTACCCCGATGGACATGTGCGCATCAGCATTGCGCTTGCTAGAGCCAGAGCCACACCACTGAAGAAAGTCACGATTCCGAAGCTGGAGCTCCGCGGTGCAGTGCTGGGTGTGCAAGTAAGTGCCGCCATCAGTGAGGCCCTCCACATCCCCATGTCCGAACACAACTTCTGGACTGATTCGATGAACGTCGTACACTGGGTGAGGAGTCCGGCTAAGAACTTTACTTCAGACGTCGCTAATCGAATAGCGGCAATACAGGAGTCGACAAAGCCGACGCAGTGGAGGCACGTGCCTGGAAAGATCAACCCAGCAGACTTGCCAACTCGGGGGGTGAAGGCCGAGGATCTACCCGGTAACGAGTGCTGGTGGCAAGGGCCTGCATTTCTCCGCAACACCAAGGAGTCCTGGCCGCAGACTGAGTTGACCAACAAACCGCAGCTTCCGGGCCAGGTGAAGCGACGTGCCATTCAGCGAGTAGTGCCGTTGACTGCAGACGGCGAATGAGAAAGAGACATATTCATTATTGACTCGGTCAGAATACTCTAGTACTGTGGTGTGATTGGTCACTTTCATATGTTTAGTCTTTGCATATTTAGCTACACGTATGTTTGTAGAGCACATCGTTCATCTTTTGTTTTTTTTGGCTCTGAGGGGGTTGCCTTTTTGGTTTCTTGTTTTGTTTCACCCTCGGAACTCCTCGTGTGAGAGGGGGAGAATGTTGCAGTTAGACTGGTGCAGTTAGACTGGTGCAGCATGCTGGCTGTTAGAGTACAATCATTCATGCGTGATATGGATAGGCGAATGTGTTAGAGCTATGATCCATGTGTGCTTCTATTCATGCATTCCCAGCAAGAAGGCCATGTGTCAGGTCTATTCAGTACTCTGGTGTCTAGACGTCTGCATTCTATTGTTGTATCACATTACATGGTCGAGTGTTGCCATAGGGTCTTTCTATACCATGTATGTGCGTGCACTGTTATTAGCTATTGCTATCTTTTGTTAGGTCAGAGTTGGTTTTAGCCTAGTTGTGGAGATGTTCAGGTTTTAGTTCTTGGAGAGTTGTGACTGTTTTCAGATCATGAGTCAGTGTAAACATTGTGTCCTGGAGATCTTTGTGTGTGGATAATCCCGGTTCCGGGGAGAAACGGAATAGTAAGCCTCAAGCTGAGATTCTTGCTTCAGCAACAACAAGCGCTGCCGAGTCTGAGGCCATTGCTGGTAAGAATGCCTTGCGTGCACCACGCAAGCACATCAGCGCTGAACGGACCAGTGCAAAGCCAATCTGGCAGCGGATGGCAGCTAGGGTGATGCTGTATGGCTCCCCAGTCTTGGCAGCGAGGAGAGATGCGATGCGTTTGTAGAGCGAAGCACCATGCTTTCCCATGCCTCCGGTGGTCGAGAAGATGGCGGGGACAAAGCTGGAATGCTCCACCTCCCTCAGGCGCTGCTCATACGCACGACGCTTAGCCTTTTCATGACGGACATAGGTAGCAGCAAGTGAGTTGGAACGGTTCGAAGACGCATGGGGGTTGAATACCCGTACATCAATGTAGGTGCGTTCGAACCGTCCTCCCCAAATGCCACTAGCCACGACGTCTAGGCGTGCCTGGTCGTCAGCAATAGCAGTGCGATAACGGAGTTGCTCTCCGGAGAGTGGCTGGAGGTGTGGCTCAACTGCCACCTGATGGGCCACCCGCCTGAGCAGACGAGCAGTGAGGTCCCTCACCTTGTTGTGACGAATGGACGGAAATCCACCCGTCGGACACGAGAGGGAGTGAGACACAGTGAACTGCTGCCCACACGCACACAGTGATGGTAGCCGGACCGGCAGCCAGTTGAAGCGAAGGCAAACAGCATCCCGAAACTCCGACTTCGTCAGGGTGAAGCCATGGCGTTGAAGGGGTCGGCACGTGAGCCAGCTTGAGGCACCCGGTTCCGAAGCCAGAGCGATCACTCGCTGCAGCTCTGAACTGGCGGAGGAAGAGAAGGCCTGGGCTGCTGCGCGAATTGACTCCCCGGCTGTCGCCATCACGCGCTTCTTGGCAGCGCGAACATCATGGATGGCCGTGCCAAGAACTGGATCTTGGGCGAGAACACGGCAGGTGAGGGAGGCAGTGATGTCAAGGGAGGACTGGTGCTGTTCGGCCCGGGACGACGGATGAGGTATGCCAAGGCCTCCAAAGCGACATGGCAATGCTATCAGGGTGCGCTCCTCAGCATTGACGGGGCGACCTAGGAGAGCAGGAATGAAGGTGTTGGTGATAGCAGCATCAAGCGGAGCTAGGTGCTCAGCCATACCAGGTTGTGCCCTACAGAGAAAAGTCCATTTGCTCTGCAGGCCGTACACATACGCTGAGTAGGCTGCTTGCGGCTCAGTGATAGCATACTGGCTAAGGCGGTGAACTTGTGTGCTCCACTCCTCAACCTTCTGCTGCAGGTAGCTGGTGACAAAGGCTGGCGTGCCGATTGCAGCGCCGAGGTATCTTGCACCATCGGGTTGGATGGTGACACCTGTGCCGTCGAAAATACGGATAGCCTCATCGAGGAACTGAGGTTTCACAACCAGGATGGATTTGGACGGGTTGGGAAAGTATCCGTACTGGGGGCCCTTTCCGACTAGCCGATCCCACCACTTGCGCACCCGCAGCAGCTTGCCACCCGACCCAGCGTCGTCAGCATACCAGGACTGTACCGCACCTTCAGTTGCCACAGACTTCATCAGCGGGGCGATGCCAATAGCATACATGGCCATTGCCACAGGGTCGCCTTGAGTCGTACCTTCCTCCGATAGGATTGTTTCACCACCAACAAATAGTTTTGCGGGCCAACGGTATGTGTTGACAACCAGATGGGCGAGAGACGGACACGCGTGCTGCACATTCCTAAGGCAAACTTCGCGGTTCAGGCAATTGAACGCATTGGATGCGTCGGCAAGCAAAAGACACTCTGTGGACGGATCATCAAACACAGTCCCCATCGCATGGATGGCAGCTTCGATACCTCCGTCCTGGCCTGCACATAACTGAAGGCTTCCTGCAGCCTCCATGATTTCAGGGCGGATGACAGAGAGGATGGCCTTGCCCAGGATTCGGCGGAGAACCTCCCCAATGCCGATCGGTCTGACACCTGGGCTCTTGTCCAGAGGAATTAATCTGCAGGACGTGTAAGCTTCCAGTGCGGTAGGATCGACATACGTAGTTGCGAGGCGGCGCGCACATTGAGCCATAGCATCGCATAGCTGGTCAGATGCATCGGAGAAGCCGGTGCACATATGGCGCCACGTGTCCGCGTTCACTCCCGATGGGCCAGCACCTCCCTGCGTGTGTAGTGCGGCACGTCGGATGGAGGCTCTATTAAGAGCTTCGAACTGCACAGGATGAGGTGGTATGGGCGCTTGCCCGGGAATCAGTGCATCTGGGTTTGCTGGCTGGCCGATAGGGTGCTTGCTCTTGAGTACGTCACGAACAGTGCTGTCACCCACTCTGTCGTCCAGTTCCAATACACCGCCACGACCACCCTCCTGCAACATGTGGATGGCGGAGGTTAACTTTCCACCCGTCACAAGGTTGGCAAAGTGCCGAGCGTCTGTGGACTGAGCAGTTGTGGATGACTGACTTTGAAGAAGCTGTTGGATCGTGCGACATTCATGGCGTAGTTGATCTATCTCGCCGTTATTCCACTGGTGCAAGCGGGTTTGGAGACACTTTGCGAGTGACTGTGATGGTGGTCTTGTTTTCTGAAGTAGTAGTTGCTGGAACACCATGGCAATTCTGAGGGCTTGACCCTCAAAGGGTCCTGAATCTCCAAAGCCCTGCAGATAGACACTCAGTTGTGCTACAAATGCCTTTCCAGAAGATCCATGTGGCACATTGAAGGTATTTGGCCTGAAATGTACTGCCTCCTCATATGCGGCATTGATGGTGGCTGCCGTAGTTTGGCTGTCCATAGTTCCCAGGGTGAATGCACCAGTCGCTGCAGGCGAATGGTGTGGCAGCGTATTGTTGTCCTGCCTGTTTGCATCTTGATGGAGGGTCTCGTCCAAGGGCAAGGTTGCATGAATCTGTGTTGCTTGACTACTATCTAGACCTGCAAGCAGATGTGCGGCTTCCGCGAGAGAGTCATCTGGATCGGCTCTAGCACTGTCCAGTAATACTTGCCCCGTTTCTGCCGAATCCGTACCTGGTTCATCCGCATCGAGTCGAAGCTGGCTCGTGCCGCCGGCCGGTGTTCTAGCTGCCTGCTCCGCTCGGCCGCCCGCAAAACTAGAACTACTACTACTACTACTACCAAGAGTAGATAAACAAGAGTGTGCAACTCGCGGATGGGTTGGCCCACGGCGGAATTTTTTGTTGACGTAATCTTTTCGACGACGCACGCGCTGCGAGCCTTTTGGAGAGGTTTCCCTCGTGCACTTGGCCGGGCTTTACACTACAAGGTCGGTGCCCAGCACGTGCTCTCACACTGCTCTGCGGCAAAGTCCGCGTTTCTCTGAAAAAAGGTGACGTCAACAAAAAATTCCGCCGTGGGCGGGGGTATCTGCAGATTGTGCAGGAGAGATCCGGAGTTGCACACTCTTGTTTATCTACTCTTGCTACTACTACTACTACTACTACTACCCGCATGGGCAGCACCCGGGTCGCGACACTCTGCAGCTTGGGCATGTGTGTGGATTTCGCGTGGGTCAGTGTCATGCTGTTGGTCTAATATGTCCCACGCCAGCTGAGAATTTGAACCTTATGCGGTACGCGACTCCCGTTTTGCCTGGCTTTGTGGTTTGATGCGTACGAACTTGAAAATTTCAAACTCGTCGGAGCAAGTGGTGTGCACGTCCTGTATTTAGAAAAGCGATCCTGTCAGCTTTTCTATTATTGTGTTCACATGGCAAGAAAAACGACACCGCTATGCTACGTAAGTTTCTACGTAAGGTGCTCGGTATTTCACTTAGGCTACGTAAGTCTCTACGTAAGGTGCTCGGTATTAGATCTACCAACGGGTGGTAGCCGCGTGCTGTGCACGTGCACGGCAGACATTGTGTTGCATGCTGTGCAGTCCGTTTTCGGATGTGCATGCGCGAGGAACTTCCTTCTTTGGAACTGCTTCTTGCATGAGCTGTTTCGGATATTTCGTGTCCTGGCTTATTTCGCTTCGGCTCTGCTGAGACCTCTTTTCACGGAATATTACTCAATGACAGGTGAGTTGACCAGTTCCCTTTGATTCATTTGCTTGTGTTCACTCTTTCATTTACGAAAAGTGTGCTGATTTTGGGCGGAATGCAATAAATATTGGAAAAGCTGACAGGATCTCTTTTCTAAATTTAGCTTTTCCGCTGCCGAGGCCTCCTTTTACTGAATACTCGATGACAGGTGATCTCTGAGTTGACCGGTTTCCTTCGATTCATTTTCTTATGCTCACCCTTTCATTTACGGAAACGTGTGCTGATTTTATTCGGATTTAGATCCATTTGTATCTCTTTGCCCTTGTCTACAGTGTACGAAGAACGCGAGTTCACCTTCTTGACGGTAAGGCTTTTGTCGAAATACTCATATTCATTGTACATTGGTACGTTACAAGTAAGGCACTGGTCAGTGACATACTATCGTTGGCAGTTCCCAATCTGGAGGGAAAGGTTCAAGGACCCATTGACCGAGTTTGCAAAATAAATTCGCATATCAGGGAAAATCTCCATTGTGGAGAGGTTAAGTAAACTTGTTTGCTTCATACGAAACAAGTCAAAGGGTGCAGTCTCGTCTCGTGAAGATCTCGTACTTGTATGATTGGGTTTGTTTACTCAAGTCTGGGCTTTTGATTTATTATTTGTGAGTACCGCCGGGATTGCACTGCCCCAAATAAAGTTTCGTGCCGCCAAAGCAAGAATTACGATCTGCAATCTGTTTGTAGTACCTGCAAGAATGTGCTGTACATGTATCGTACTTTTTTTCGTTGCTGTTTCAGTTGCCGTCATGTTGCTAAAGAAACGTTCAGTAGAGAGGTTCTGCAAAACGAAAATTCGAACGAAGTTTCGCGACAGTCCTTGCGAAAATGTGTACGAATTTTTGCACGAACTTTGTGTTCTGCACATTTTCGTAGTTTGCGCGGGCCAAGTGCACGTACGCCATGACCCGATCTCACGAAATGTCCTACGACAGTTCATTTCGCGTTCCCTGCAAGTTTCGCGTCCAAAGTTGCGAAAGTTCGTGCGAAGTTTTGCACTTCATGACAATGAACGAACGTTTGTACGCATTTTCGTTTTGCAGAACCTCTCTAGTGACTCATTTGTTTCATACGAGACAAGTCAATGAGTTGGTGTGGCTTAGAATCTTTCGCTGTAGAAGAAATCTATTTGTATGTCTATTGGAGAAATAATTGTATTCACTGGTTATAAAATAGGTTAAGACAAACTCACAGAATAAATACCATTGGTAGCTTGGTGTTCGTCCTAAAGAGGATATCATTCATACTCACCAAAATATGTGTAAGATTTTATTATTATGGAGTGCCTTGTTTATCTCTCAGTACCTCCAACCATAGCCTTGCCCCTTTTATCCTCAGGATCAGTGTAGTTGTTGGAACGAGGTGTCGGACTGAGCAATGTATTTGTTTACATTTTTATACATGTTTATTGTTTCTCCTTTGCTGTGTTGTTTTAGAAAATCGTGGACTACCAGTTTGAAGTCTTTGAACGACATTGTACTTCCAAAAGTTGTATCGACATCAACAGGATTACGATTTCAGTGCAATATGATGCAGGATGACCTTATCACGATAACCCATGATTATAAACCATTATAAACACAGAATCAACAAAAACATCTGCGACACGCACCTGGTTACATTTCTCAAATAAATCTGATCGAGGGTGGGGAAATCTGAAATATCTGAAAGGCAAGACAATTTTATGACAGAGTCATGAAATTCTGCTACAGCAACATGCACAGATTGACCTCCGTATAAAAAAAGTATCACCACGGTCCACCACTACTCACATGTATCCCTGCAGAAGAACATGCTAGTGCCATTTTCTGCAAGACAAGGCTTGCACATCATTGCGTATGATACGGTGTAATTGATATGATGTGAAGGCCATCATTTACATATTGATATAGGGCATTCCATTGATTGGTGACAGAAAAAACAAAAGAAATTATAGCAATAAAAACTGCTTTATGGCAGTTTTCTAAAAAAAGTTATTGTGTTCTAGTCCATGGACCCCGTCTAAAAAGTAAGAAATTAACGAAATGTGATAGCCGAAAATTAAAATTTCACACAAAACCTCACAATAATCACATACAGAATGAAAGGCTACATGCAGAAGTAGAATAGTAGTAGTAGAATTTATTATTTTGATAGGGAAGGCCCTACAGACGTTGCCGTCTTGTTACAGGGAACCCTAAGTGCTCTTTACAGAGCGAAACAAAAACGGATAGATGCTCAACCTGACGACACGAGACAGGCAGAGAATTCCACCTATCAGCGCCAAGGAAAGAAGACCTGTAAAAAGGCCCTAGGCCTGTGGGACAGCCCTATTCAAAATTTAATAATAATAATAATAATAAGACCTTTTCCCCTCGTGATCCTCTTTCCTATGCATGCATGACATGCATGTTGCCAATTGTTGTGCAGTACAAGTTTAGTGTTGAAAGCAGCATTTCAAGTGTTGTGATTATTGTGAGGTTTTGTGTGAAATTTTAATTTTCGGCTATCACATTTCGTTAATTTCTTACTTTTTAGACGGGGTCCATGGACTAGAACACAATAACTTTTTTTAGAAAACTGCCATAAAGCAGTTTTTATTGCTATAATAATTATGGAAGGCGAAGGACTAAAGCCGTAAAGGGACGCTGGTCTAGGAGGGCCGGATTTCTCGCACCACGGCAACCAGAAGCGCGCGGAACGCGAGAGCCACCATGTACCAGCGCAAAGCGCTCCAGACTTGCGGCGGTAGAGCGAGTGAGACACTTCGCCGTGACCCAGTACGAGTGCAGTCTTGAGCTACAGCTACGGCCTGGGCTAGCTACATAAGTCATTGTAGGCCCGCGGCCAAGGGAAAAATATTTGCCGAACGTGTGTTCGAAGCGGTTCATGTTCACTCCTTTCGATGATTATTATCAATATCATGATGTCTTTTTCAATTACTTCTAATAATTCTACCACTGTACCAGTGAATATTATTACTTCAATATTATTTATTAGTGCAGTAATTGCCAAGACAGAAGACTGCAATACGAACTCGTACTCGTAGCAGCAGCAATGCCAAGAAGAGCAGGCAGCGTAGCAAAAGCAGTCACAACAACGCAGACGCAATAACATTTTCAGCAGCCGTTCATCTCAGAGGGGATGCAGCGCCAAACTGCGAGGGTGAGGTGGTAACTCTCACAACCAATGCCTCCGCAGGTAAGTACTAGTAAAGCCTCTTGTGCGGGAAAAATGAATTGCACATATCATCAAACAAATTCAAATTCAGTAAACTACTTTGAAGTACAAAAATCAATTTAAATGCATGAATCTTCACTAGTTTGAGGGAAAGAGACAAACGGGAAAAGTCTGAACAAAAAATTGACTGTCACCACCAGGACTCGAACCAGGGACCCTCGCTTGTAGCTAGCGATGCTCTAACCACTGAGCTATGGTGTAGTCGTCATCCCAGCAGAGACCGTTCAACATTTTCTTCAGACTTCGTAACTCACACTTCCTGTGAATCCACACAGGCGGGTGGGACGCAGCCCTCACTGTACCCACACACTTCACGTACACTCTAGCACGCGTGCAGCCCCAAGTCATAAAAATGCATGAATGTTAGTATTAAACACAAAAAAAAAGTAAAAATCAATTGGAACACAAAAAAGAGACAAAAACCCTAGGTAAAAGAGCCCACAGAAACATTACCGTACTGGCAAAGAACGGCAGCTATTTACAAAGGCCCTATTCCTACGCCTGTATGATGCTCGGGACCCTCTGATACAGACAAGTACTATTATATAAGGCCAAGTAAAAAAAAAAGCTAGATGATCGTCCCCGTCCGCCCCAGTTTTTGTCAGCGCCCCAAGAAATATTTTATTTTTTAAATCGTGAGTTTTACTATATGGACCACATACTACTAGTATATCACAACGTCAGTATCGATCTGCTGAAGAAAGAAAAAGAAAAAAAGAAAAAAAAAGAAAAAAAGAGAAAAAAAACCTTGATGTTGTTGTGTACACTGTGTGCATGAGAGGGTAAAAAGTAAAAAAATAAAAATAAAATCCTCCCGCCCTCCCCGATTTTTCCAAAAAAAAGGACGATCATCTAGTAATTTTTTTTACTCGGCCTAACCCTGTTCTTACTCGAACATGCCTCCGGATAGCACACGACTCGTTGTTTTAGAAGACTGTATTATAATGTTTTAGTCTGACTCTGATCGAAATCATCTTGCAGTACAAAGGAAAGTTCTGCTTCTCTCGAAGCAGAAGCGGAGATTCAAAAAACATTCAAATCAAAAGATTGCGCGAAAGCAGTGTACGCGACTACGCGCATCAGACGTGAATACAACATGAGAAGTGAAAGCAGTGTACGCGACTACGCGCATCCAGACGTGAATACAACATGAGGAATGAAAGCAGTGTACGCGACTACGCGCATCAGACGTGAATACAACATGAGGAACGAATGCGTAGTAGCATGATAATGCACAACAGTACAACAAGCAGTGCTGATAGACACATAAAACGGAGTGGCTCTGCACCATTATCAGTGGGCTGGATATAGACTGTACAAACCCAATACTAGTACAATACTAGTATTAGATAAACCTTGTTATAGTTCACACATGTTGTTAGTTTGACAGCATGAAACAAGGTGGAGGACACAACACCCAGCTGGAGAAACTAAAGAAGTCAGTTACGACTGCCCTTGAAGCTGAGAAGTTGTGTGAGCTCAGTCTGTGCGAACGGTAGGTTCATTATCCAAACAAATGGCGAAATAAAAAGTTGCCAGAAGAATAACCTCTACAAATAACCACTTGTGTTATCCACACGTATCAACTACTTATCAGCATTTCAAAGAATATTCTGATTCTGAAAACAATCGTTTCAATGCTCGACCTTATTATAATGATGATAAACTGAACACAATTCAAGAATACTATAACTCAACACATAAGAGATTAGAACTCAGACGGTGAGCCAAGAAAAAATTGTAACATGGAAAAATGTGGGCACAAGGCACTTTCATGCCGTGGAATGTCTCCGTGCTCCTTGTCAGTTTTGTGCTGGATTGTGCACGTCTGACTCTTCAAAATCTGGCTTAGTTGGTAGACTCAATCGCATAACTTGTGCCCACATTTGTCCATGTTACATAAGTGATATGAATGTTATCTAATCTGGCACTCAATGTGTGACATTTTGTGTGACATTTTGTGTGTTATCTTGCAATATCACGCGACTCAATATCACATCAGACTAATTATACCAAAGTTTCTCTGCAGGGACTGGGAGGATGGGAGTTGAAAAATCCACAGCTGATGCAAACCGGATTTTTAATGTATGATGTATATGTGTTTTTTTTCTGCACCCCACTAGGTTCATCGTTAGCTACCCCACAGCTGAGTGCCATACTGGTCATGACGTAACTACAGAAACAGGAAAACTTGCCGGGGAGCTGAGCGAAAGGCAAGGTAAGAAACTAAGAATCACTCCGCGACATCTGAGGCTTCATGCAAACGGTGATAACGGCACACGCGCCATGACTTTGTTTTGTAGGCTCTGTTGAGAAGCGACACTCCAACGCGTTCACCTGTGACCACCACGGCACAATGTATAGCGCGACAAGGCTGGTGTGATATTCAGTACTGAGAACGTGACCGCGGTCCGAGCAACAAACAACACCTTTGTGCAGTTGACAAGACCCTTGTTCACCCTTGACCATTCCTGGAGCAATATAAATCTAAATCTGCAAAAAACAAACTCTCTCTACAGCTACTTGTTTTCTCCTGCAACCTTCTCCGGGACTGTGCTGCTTTTTAAAACTACTGTCATGTCCAGCAAAATCCAGCCTTATCATGCTCAACTAGGGTCAGGACCATACAGTTGTTGCCCACAGGGACAGTTGTCTGTGTACTGCTGCGGGGTACTGATGTTTTATTTGGCTGGATTTCATCAACAACGACTACTTTACCATTCAAATGGTTGGTTGTTACCTGTGATCTCTGTGTTCTCTTTGTAGAACTTTATACCTGTGCATGGCCATGATCCCATGTACAAACAGCCCCAGAGAGTACCCATGCGTGCTGTACCCAGCGTGTGGCGCACGGCAGTCGGCCCAACAACAGCACGCGAGCAAGGTACGTCAGAACACTGCTACGTATATGAGTATTCGTGTGCCTGTGTGTATGAGTGTGCGCTCGTTTGTGTGTGTCCGTATTTGTTTTAAAGTTTGATGCAGTGGTTTGTACTAGGTGCTTTCCCGCCTACTCAGTTCTCACCAACCAGACTGATATCTATGATAAAGCTCTGGTCTACGGTACATGAGTAGATGATGCTCTCCGGATATCTAGCAGCATCTAGACCCTCCTGGAATACGGAGAACTTAATTATGGGCTGCTTATCGCTATAGGCTACTGACATGTATTGTACTATGGTACTTGAAGTCTTGAATAGTAGTCGTTGGTGGGAAAGGATCATCCCTCTAGGCTATGTGTGGGTTCGTGTTATGACAAGTTCTTGTGGACCTACAATGTCCTCTGCAGGTATGTTCAATTTGTAAAGATGTTCCCATCCATCAACCTCCGCTCAGAACGAGCTAAGAATCGTGGACAGCTTATCAAGGACAAGGTATGTTGCGGGTGCTCCGCCGGCTGATGTGACCAGTAATGGATGTGTCTGTCCTGCTGCTAAGTATACGAGATCTCGTAGTCCTTAGGCTGTTTTGTTGTCCTGCTGCTGCCTAGCGGATCATGTGATTGTTCGCTTCCCTGTGTGTGCTCTGGGTACTGCCCCTCGCGTTGTTTCCTGTAGCTGTGTGCTTATTGTGCTGTTGTCTGTGTTCTTGTATTCACATGCCGGATTCCCTTGCATTCATGTATCCACATCATCCGGGTGACGTCACATGCCTATCATAGTGCCAGTGGTGTAACGATGTGCTAGTATTGTTTTCCTGTGTGATGACATTCCCCAAACTGTCTCCTGTCTCGCATGCGCACGTGTGATATGAGCATGCATGATTCGTGAGTCTTCAGTCAGCGAGTCTTGATACACACATGTAACACAGTGTTATCTCTGTGTTTACACGGTGTACTTGTAGGTTGAACTAGCTGGTGTCGACTTGACTGACCTGGGCAAGAAGCTGTTTGCCCTCAAGGCATGGGCATCCGCGCACACGAAGGTGCCCCGCGCCAAGGCTAAGAAAAAGACATAGACTACGTGTTCGCATGGCTCTTTGTACATTCACAGTTGAGTGCCTCGTTTATGTGTGTATGTTTAAATCATGTACACCCTCTGATGGGAGTATGATAATGTAGTCATCTAGGACGGCTGGACTGTCCCTAGTGTTCCAAGTGCATATTGACGCTAACCTCCAATGTTATATCCAGCAAGTATCAGATCTGCACTATCGCACATAGAACTGGTGTATATTTCTTTACTGTGTTGACTCACTACCCTACTAGCCACAGTCATATTTATATCAACAATAACGTGGGCACCGCATTATTTTTTGTTTAGGAGCTGTCGGTATGCCGGTAGCATGGGTCACGCTAGTGCAAAATAGGCTAGACTACATGCAGCCAAGAACCAGGCACTATTCCATCCAAGAAATAGTGGGAGTAACTATCCTGATGCCTTGCAACATGTCCAAACCACTTCAACTTGATGCTTGGTAACGAGAGAGCTTGGAAGCTCAGGGCCCTACGCTATGCTTTTTTGCCTTGATGACCGAGACAAAAAAAAGCATAGGGACCGGATGTCATAAATTCTTATAAGTTTCTACTTTTTGTTTTTAGACATATTAAACCTGGGATTCGAACCCGCACTATCGCCCTGCATGCATCCCCCGATACACTTCGCATACATACTATTTCTTTCAAGTTGCTTCACGTTATGATCTTGTATTTGAAAGCCCTATTGGAATATGCATTGTGGCCAGCCGTTTTTGATTGTACGGTACGGTCGGGATAGGTACGGTCGAGGGTAATACGACACCGTCTACCGCCTTGATGACGGCAAAAAAAGAAAAGGGATGTTATAAATTTTTCAATTCTCCTATTTTTTTCGGGCATTACCTGGGATTCGAACCCGCACTATCGCCCTACATGCATTCCCCCATACACTTCGCATTCATACTCATTCTTCCAAGTTGCTTCACGTTGCTTGCGGTTGAAAGCCCTATTTGAATATTGCGGCCAGCTGTGTTTGATGGTACGGTACGGGACAGATACGGGATAGCGCCAGGCGTGACACAAACACACAAACACCAAATTAAAGCTGTGTGGACCCTGGCTAGCGCCAGACGTTACTGAAGTAACGTCTTCTGCATAGCTACGGGAAGAAAACTAATTATGGACCTTACTTAAGTATTTTTTTTAAATAGTTCAATACTCGTAAAATGAGTGCCAATGGGCAAATGTCCGGTGCTGCACTGAGAACGCATGAGTGGTGACATCTCGTACTGCAATAGGGACTACTTGTATCACGACTAAACATCTTGGTCGTGTTGCTTGATTGCTGCGTCCATCAACTCAATGCACACGCCGGTGGCTTGCTGCGCCAAGCGGCTGACTGCGTGGAAGTTGAGGAAGCCATGGGATATTCCGTCGAATGGGCGTAGTGTCACATCCTTGCCGAGTGCGTGCAGACGACGCGCCATGACGATGGAATCATCCAAGAGGGGGTCAAATGAACTTGGCTGAAAGGTACAACAGAACGGATGGAGAGAGAGAGAGGGAGAGAGAGAGAGTGTGTGAGAGAGAGAGTGTGTGTGTGTGTGTGTGAGAGAGAGAGAGAGAGAGAGAGAGAGAGAGAGAGAGAGAGAGAGAGAGAGAGAGAGAGAGAGAGAGAGAGAGACATGCACACACACACACACCTGTACTTGTACTTGTTGCTCACTGCCAAAACTGGTCACGTGGGTCTCCCCGGGAGAGGGGAGAGAGACTCTAAAGGAATCTTGGAAAGATGACTCAATTGGTTATTGAACCGCCCAACGGCCGACACCCCCTGAAATCCCCAAAACTCTGGGTGGACTTGAAAACGATCCCACTTATGGGCTCACCACACCTCAGTAAGTGGGTGTGGACAAGGTGCAGAAAAAGGATTGACGGCATCAGGGTATCCGTCCTGGGATCCAACTGCAGTTACCCCTGCCCCCAGTGGAGGTAATACTTGCTACTAGTGCGGGTGGCTAAATCAGGCTGGATCTGATTTAGACATCACTAGCACCATCGATTACACAAGAGTTAATCTAGCCAGAAGCAGTCCATGGTTAACAGGTATGTATACTTCAAATAGAAAGTATACGAACCCTGGAACCAACAAAGGTGGCAAGTACAACATTACACCTTCAAGCAGCCGAGCCCGTTGGCAACATACCCAACACAATCAGGCATAAGTGTACCCACCAACTGAACTAGCTGGCACACACACACACACACACACACACACACACACACACACACACACACACAGAGTAAGAGATGACCCATAGCACGAAGAAATCTATCGGCAAAGAAACATAGCTTTCTTACTTGAACACCCACAAAGGAGCACAATAATGTAGCATTTTGAAATGTTCTTGTACTCAAAGATACCGATAAGAAGTACGGCTGAGCCTCAGGCAACTCTTCCACTAGACAGCAGGGGTCCTTCTCCAATGGAGGTCGCTGTCATGGAAGTTCTATCAGCTCATACTGCACACTACTCTCTGTGGAAGGGGTGCTAGTAACCCACCTTCCCATTCCTAGCAGGGTCCAGCACATACATGTAGATGATCTATATGTGCTTACCAAGGTGCTCTGTGCACACTTCACATGACTGACTATTAGAGAGAGGTTAAGCTGCACGTTATTTCTGACGTGATGCGCAATATCACGTCAAATTAGGCGTAAACCTCCAAATTTCGACGTGAGCTGCAGGTCACTTGCGTTGTTTTCCAACGCGCGAGCTGAACTTTCGTGTCACGTAAAGCTTAACCTCTCTATTAACACCCCTTCCCAGACACGCAATATGTCTCAGGCACAATCGATTTTCTATGGAACTCACATGGCCAGCTACTCATTACACACAGACTAGCTGCTCCAGACATAGCTACTCATTACACACAGACTGCTCCTTGCATTGATCAGTAAGGCTTGAAAATGCTAACAGTACAGTCAGACCTCGCTTAACCGCACACATCCGTTTTCCACAAAAATATCCGGATAGGCGAGGGAACTGGATAACCGAACACCGGTTACATTGGATGCATCACGCAGACTAGCTGCTCCAGACATAGCTACTCATTACACACAGACTGCTCCTTGCATTGATCAGTAAGGCTTGAAAATGCTAACAGTACAGTCAGACCTCGCTTAACCGCACACATCCGTTTTCCACAAAAATATCCGGATAGGCGAGGGAACTGGATAACCGAACACCGGTTACATTGGATGCATCACGTATGCTGTAAATCTGTAGCCAGCTATTTTCTTCCGGGTCGCGAGGGATCCGGATAAGCGAGATCTGACTGTACATCACACCCAGACCCAGAGCTACAGGCCAGGGCCTGTCACAACATTGCTGACCTCTGACTCTGTGGCTCCAGCAGATCCTGTGAAGTACGTACATGTGCATGACTGTACTTCAGAATTAGGTTGTTAACATGCTCATCATGTCACATGTAGAGACTACACAGAAGACTCTCTACTCTAGGTCTCCTTTTTGGTGAAACAGACTTCCAACATTGCACATGTTGTAAGGTTGCCTAACTTAGTTACATGTACATGACTATTGCATCTAGTCACAATTCACACACCTACGTGTGGTATAGCAGTGCTTGGGTTTTCCGGGGCATCGGAAAGGTTCCTTCTCGAAAGAGTTTTGGACAGGGGTGTATTTGCGGACAGTTCCTGATCAATAGGCCAGTTTGTCAATACGATAAGTACGGAATTAGCACTCCTCAGCTACTGGTATGTGAATGCATAGCTCATACCGTACTGCCATGTGTGCTATAGTGGCTTACCAGCAATGCAACCGATGGTAAGCTGTGCAGCATCTCATCACTGGCCAGCAGTGGAGAGAGGTAGGCCGGCGAAGCATTCAGGATGGTGGCATGACGTTGGTGGATGCCCGACTGCAGCTGTGACAGGTGACCGGTGTTCGGGTGATACTCTGGCGTGCTGGACAGGACAAGAGAAGAACACCATGAACTGGTACTCACAGAGCAATCAGCATTGCGGAGTACATCCACAGCATAGCCTAGCAGTGCGAGCACAGAGAGACTGAGAGAGTGGATTCCGATGACTTTAAGGAGACTATAGCAAGGGCAAAGGCAAGTCACACGGTCCACGTCCACCAAACACCTGCCTCTAGTCACAGAGCTCTCTGTCCTCATCCATCACCAACGTTGCATCAGATAAAGAAAGCAGGACAAAGGAAGCGACGCAGTTTTGTTTCAATTCCAGGTGGTGAAAATCAAAGCTCGAAGTGATGAAAATCAAAGCTTGAGGTGATGTGCACACAGCTACCCAGAAAGTGACAAAACCATACAATGCTGCTCAATGAAATCCGGTTGTGCACAGCATACACAGCTACCCAGAAAGTGACAAAATCACAGCTAACCAGAAAGTGACAAAGTCACAGCAAAGCACTTTAAAGTACAGTCTGTATCGGCTATAGAGTGACCGGATATAAGAATATATCGGCTACAGTGATATTGGTACGAAATATCAAAAGCAAAACGTATTTTATCCAGTACAAATATCACTATAACCAATATTATCGGATGTAATGATATTATCGGATATTATGATGGCAACAAAGAATCAAAACATGCATAACACACTACATTATTATCGGCTATAGTGATAACTTTAAAATACATGTTGCAATAATATCAAAGGCCCTATTTTTTTACTTTCTTCACGTTACTTATTTTGACAGTGACACATGTACACGTACATAACAGAATTTTTTTATGGAAATGCGGGCACTGTCAACTATGCAGCATGCTCATTTGTCAAAACGCCATGCTGGAAGTATTTCCTTGCCTTTAATGTGTCGATCGAAAGAAATCGATCGTATCGCATATAGTGATGCATCGGTTATAGTGATACAATCACGGAAATCAAAAGGGTACGCTATAGCCGATACAGACTGTACAGTGCTGCTCAATGAAATCCGGTCACGTGAGTCAAGTTTGCGCCTTGCACCATTTCGCAGCCCAATGTTCGCAGGTCTAGGGCAACGCCCAGCACGTACGTGAGTGACTCGACTGGATTTCATTGAGCAGCACTGTAGGTTCTTTCACATTTCATAAGCACAAGACATGAAGTGTGAAAGTTGATTGTCGATGTGCTAAGAACGTGACTTGGTGTAGTTTCACCGTAGTACACGTGGACACACACACGCACGCAGAGGGAGACTGCAGCCTACAGCCAATTCCGTCCCATATTGTGCGAACAGCTCTCACATTGGGTGCACTGAGCAACCTCCCAGAGAAGGTGCCTACGTTGGCGTGGACAAAGTAATGTAACGCCTATCATTGTCACTACGTCGCATACAGTCAAACTTCAGTAGAACGTATGAGGGAGTAGTAAAACGCTGGTATTTACGTACTCCCTGAGCGTACCTCTAGGGGACATCCACCTCAGTGATTCACAGGTGAGGTACTTCACACCTGAGGTCTGGGAAAGGATACGCAGGGTCGTCGAAACAGCACTCCACACCCGATGAAAGGAGAAAAGGGTGTTAGACCCTGGGTATTTAACCCTTTCCGTGCTGACCCCTTTTACTCCAGCAAACTGCCTTTCCAGCGCACTGACTCTCCTGGTGTCGTTTTCGCGCAAAGGTCCGAACGAATTTTTCTCTCAATTCAGTTCACCTTGATGGATTTTCGTCATCCTGGGCTTGTTGGAAAGATCAGGACCAAGCGAATCCATCCTGGTAGCTCTCCTCTCA